ACTCTTGATTGATTAAATAGATTCAAATTATTCTTTAATAATATGTTTGTCTTTTGATATAGATCTAACAATATTTAGTATAGGGAACCTAMATTTAACCAATGCAATTTATTCCAAATAAAATAAATATATTACACCTATTTATTAACATATTATAATAAATAATAATACAATAGTCCATACGGTATACGTTAATTTTTAAAAATTAATAATACTATTCTAGCTTATATACCTTCTAATTTTTAGTTTATAAAATCTATTTACTGTTTCATCTAAATTTATTTTGTTAAAAGGACGCTACACCCGMATGTGTTGTCTCTGTCTTACACACGTACTAAATAGCAAATTTTCATTCGCTAGATTCAATAGTGTGCTGTTAGTTTTGATATTAGAGTGAACTGACCCATTATCAAACTTTTAGGTAAGAAMATTATCTGTGTTCTCATGTTGGTTTTTACGATATTTTAATTTTTAATTAAGTTATGAGCATGTTAAGTCTGGATATTTGAAAATTCACATAACTCAATTAAAAATTAAAATATCGTAAAAAACCAACATGAGAGCACAGATAATGTTCTTATCTAAAAGTTTGATAATGGGTCAATTCACTCTAATATCAAAACTAACAGCACACTATTGAATCTAGTGAACGAAAATTTGCTATGTAGTACGCGTGTAAGACAGAGACAACACATGCGGGTGTAGCGTCCTCTTAACATCCTCTTTTTCTACCACTATGATCATTAAATCGCTTATTGTTCGTCACCCATTGAAGTCTGAAGATCTAAGATAAGAATTCTCTCATTTGAGTGAGGAAAAAAATCTTTAAATTGATGCCGATGAAAGAATTCTTATAACTAACGATTGAACCTTGTTGGCACATTGAAAATTGTAGTCCAGGCCAATAAGACACAGAAAAAAATGAGGAGTTAAAGTTTACTCTGCACCCCCCTCCTCCCCATCAAATGGCACCCCTGATTTTAAACAGTTGTTAAGCTCTAAAAATGTACCCGGCATGTYAATTAATAAGTGTCAATAGATAAATAAATAATATGATATGTAAAAATGTATAGCGGACAATATCATTAGTGTGTTCCATAACGGTTGCTATGTCTTTTTAGCCACTACCCAGGGCGTCAATCAGTCGACCACTTTGCTAACCAGCTAGCTGTCTTTTCCCTCACATAAAGTCAATCACTCTCATTTGCATACCWGTTGGTTCATAATATAATTACATTTATGTAAGTCTCTAAGTGAAATAAACTGTAATTCATAAGTAATTGTACAAACATTCATACCCCAGTAGCCAGCCCCTTTTTCGGCCACTTACACCACTACAAAACCAAGTCAAATGGTCTTAACTTTAGTATTATGATAAATGTTTTCAAATTAAATTTACAATAAATATAATTATAAATCACAATAGATATAAATTATGAAATAACTTTATATCCTAAGTTAAAAATTTAGATAATGTTTTTCTACAGATAACATACTCACAGAGCTTTAWAATATAACTTTTAATATAATCTTATGCTTTGTGCAAATTCAAGTGTTTTAGCTGTTACGTCTGATAATTATTTTACATCCCCTTTGTTAATGAAAAAGAATTAACAATCTTAAATAACATTAAAATTGTTAGGCATTAAATTTAATATTGAAACTTTGGAATTCAGAATCAATTTAATGATTTTTAGCTAGTAAAATAATATGCTAAATTCTAAAATTTACTGTTCCAACTTCCAAAATAGTATTGTTAATCATTTAAACATTTTAAACATACACAATTTCACGATCTACATGTCCCTGTATACAAATAAAATTATAATCTATTAATTTTGTTGGATATAACTTTAGAAAACAAACTTAAAAAATTTTGTTTATTTATTTTCATTCTTTTTCAAAAATAAAATATTGATTAGTAATTATTACAATTTATAACAAAAAATTATTTGAATACAGTCTTTTATATAGATTCTTGTATCTTACACAAATGTTCATTCGTAGCAATATCTCTTTAATTTGTATAATATTATATTAAATAATTATTGTTAGAGATTAGATGTTTATAATTTTATAAATTTGTTTATGGTTTATGCATTTAAATAGGAGTAAGTATGATTCATGAAACATAGAATTCAAATAAATAAATTTATTTTGCATAAAAATCACATTATTTAGGGTGAGAAATATTTAATACTTTAGAGGTTAATTATAAATATAACACAATTCATAAAAATATTGGTAATTTTATTTTATAAGTAAATTGGTATATAGGTGAATATGCTATTGCMTATTCATGTAAATCAGAATTTTAAAATTATCTCTATTAATTGGTATTAATTAAAAATGTCAACGAATAAATTTTACAAGAGAGTTATTTTAAAGTTTTCCAAGTTCTTTGTAATATTTTGACAAGGTGACAAATGAAAATTACACCAGAACATAATATATAAATATAAAACAATACATAATGCTTATTTAGGAGTTTTTTACAGTAAAAACCAGATATAACATATGTATTATAATATGACATATAATTCAAAAGTAGGTAACCACTTTGCTGTACAAGTACAGTATTTCTGGGAGCACATATAAATGAGGAAAATATTTATATGAAACCATATTTTTCAGGAAAATAATTATTAAGACTAGATTTCTTGTAGAGAAGGATTTTTCAAAAGAATGGTACAATAAAAAAATGATAGATTCTCRGAATGACATTTTTCTAAACAGAATTAACAAAGGAAAATATAAATCAGTAAAATAATAATGCTGAAGAGTATTCTTCAGGAACGGTATAAATTAGGAAAATATCGCTCAGGACTGTATAAATCGGGACAACATTTTTGAGTATATTATACACGTGGATCCGTATTAATCAAAAAAAGCATAGGTATGTAAGCTTAAGTATGAAAATTTGTAATCTTTATCAATATTCAATAACCTATCAATATTAATTTTTTATCTTTTYCCTGCATCTTAAAATAATAGTTATTTAATGAGTAGAAAATAAACTAAAAAATACTGAACAATATAAAAGTCTAAAAATAGCTTAAAAATCAATCAGAATATTTTTAAATTGTTGTCTTGTATTGAAAATTCTAATATAAATATTTGGTGAAAATTTAAGCGACTAATTTCATGTGTTTTTCAGTTTCATCTCAAAACAAAATTAATTTTGATAAATATTTTTTTTTATTTTGTGAAGAAATTCTTATTTTTTTTCATCCTTCAAGTTCAAAATTGAAGCATTTTTATTGCCCCATRTGATGAGAAACAGAAAAGAAATTTGAAAACAAGTTTTTTTAGTCTTTACTACATTCAAAACTTAAATATTGTAACTATTAAATTCAACTAATAAATTTAACACTAAGAAATATTAAAAAAAATTTGGATTTTTAAGACACCAAACATCATTTACCTATTACTTTTAAAAAGAATATCAAGATGATATATTTGAATATTTTAAACGACATAAAACATATTTCAAAGAATTTTAACAAATATAAATCCAACCATTATTCATCACTATGTAGAAAGTACATTTAATTTAAATCTGTGCTTTCATTCATAAATAAAACAAATATTACAATTATTTATGAGAGGTTTTTCATTTAAAATAACTATTCAGTTAATAAAAGCAAATGGTGTTAAAAGTAGAAGGTGCTAGTRTGCTACTATAGCTCTAAAATGGTTTTATTGAGCATTTCAATAGGAAAGYATATACTAAAAAACATTTTGAAAAAAGTTAAAATTATATCTTACTTCTTTTAATGTAGTAATATTGTCTAAGAACTTTTCAGCAATATCAAAGCAATTCATGAGCTTTTGAATATCTGTATCAATATTGAATTCTATACCAATTCTTGTATTTATTGGAAAACCGCCACTTATTAACATATGTTCTAATAAACAATTTCCATAATCTATAAAATATAAATTAGTTATAACAGATATTTTAATAAAAACTATTAATATTGCTACTAATAATAATGATTATGAGATTATGACAATAATCATCCACAGATTCCTAACCTAAACAATTTGGAAAATTTGAAAAAATAAATTTCTTTAAGTTTGTTGAAGGTTTAGCTGTTTTCAGAATTTGAATTAAATAGTCTTCCGTAGGTGGATTAAGTCGATTTTTCGGTCTGCTATTTGGGTACACCTCCTTAACGAAAAATCTAAAATTTTAAACATAAATATGCCAAGTAAATAAAAAATATACAACAAAATACATTCCAAAAATTAGAGAAATCGAATAAATATTTTACTTCTGTTTTTCATCCTCAGTGTGTGGACGTAAAATATTAATCATAATATAATCTTTATCTGCTAAAATAATATTGCCTTTATCATATAATTCTAGTATAACATGGTATGCTGCTTCTCCAACACCAAACTGCAGATCAATAATTCGATCAAATCCCATTTGTGATAATTTTTCCAACCGTTTGTTTGATAAGTGTTTTCTTAGCTAATTATAACAAATAATTTATCATTTTTTAAATAAAGGTTCTAGAAAACCTCTTAAACCAATCAAAATATATAAGCACATCCACAGTGGTGGATCGAAAGGGTATATTTGAATCATGTAATTCACAAAATATTAATGGGTGGGTGGGTCTTATGATTGGAAAAGGTAGACTGGACTATTTTTGCAAGTTTGTAATTTAAATATTATAGTTGTGTATGTGTACTCAGCAGATAATGTACATTAATAAGTAATAATTAATAACTATATTTTAGGACGGGTGGTGTAAAAATATTAAACGTGTTTCGAGGGAAAATAAGCTCAAACCGCCACTGAGCACATAGTTTAATGAGTTTTCATCATAAGATAAGTCAACATTTACATAAAATGCAATACTATTTAAATGATCTAGATATAATAGTATGTTACTAGGGATTAAT